ATATATATATATATATATATAAATAACATGAACCGTATTATGTGTTGACAAATGTAGATTCTATCTTTCGTTAGAAATCAATTAATGGTATTTTTTGACGATACAAATCTTTTGTGATTGTGAGATATCCATCTCATAATCTTTTCTACATTATACACAATACACACACACACTATCAAACACAACAGACCACACGACAGCACAACACCACATATATATATATATATAGTACATATAGTTATAATATATATACAATATATAATATATATAATATATACTTACTTTATATATATATATATATAATATATATTCACTTTACCTGAAAATGAGATATTATTTACAATAACACTACTCACTAACGGACCCCATTCAGATAATGAAACCTAGTCACTGTATATTTATAAGAAAATTGAAACACTGACATTGCGTATTATTAACTTATCCACGATGCTTAATGTAAAATGGAATATATATAAGTTAAATGGCGAGACAGTAATAGCTCTTACACACTATCTAATGTTAATCAACTATAATCAACTAGGCGAAACATACAGAAACTCGAGGCCAGCTAAACAGGTGATATCCTGTACTAAATAAACATAAAAAAAAACTGTTGGTACTCCAGAGACTCGACCGCGTGTTTCATTCTTGTCGTTGGGTCAGCTTAACTGGAAAGACGATAAATTAATTCCTTAACCGGCTAATCTTTTAAGAGTGCTGGTCAATGGGTCTTAGATGACCTTATTTCGTCGTTAGTAAATAAAGCCTTCCCTAAATACTTCGACCTTGACCCTCCTCCCGAGGCCTGACTCTGCTCTTGTTCGTCTTGTCTCTCTACCACTATAAAGCCTTGTCAAAATTTTCTCCTTTGTATTCATTCGGTTAATATATATATATATATATATATATTATATATATAATTATATATATTATATATATATATATACATTATATATATATATTATATATATATAATGTATACATATATATATATATATAATATACATATATATATACATAATTATAATTTAATCATGTATGTATGTATATATAATATAATAATATTTATATAATATAATATATAATTATTAAATACACACATATGCATACATATAAAATATATATAGTATTGTACATATATATATAATATATATATATAATATATATATATATATATATATAGATATATTTAATATATATGGTATGTGTGTGGTGTATGTGGTGTGTGTGTGTGTGTGTGTGTGTGTGTGTGTGTGTGTGTTGTGTTTGTGTGGTGTTATATTGTTTTTGGGTGGAATGTAATATATAATAATATTATATATTATAATATATATAATATATATATATATAATAATATATAGTATATATTATTATATAATATTATATATATATATATAATAATTGTATGTCATAGCATATAGGATAGATAGAAGATAGATAGAGTAGATAGATTAGATAATAGATAGAATTGTAGATAGAATAAGATAAGATAATAGATATAAGATATATATAGGTAAGATAAATGATATATATATAATATATATATATATAATATATATATAATGTATTATATACATGCAATGTATGTAATGTATGTATATGAAGCATGTATATGTCCATACATTTATATGTATATAGACATATATTTATATATATGTATGTATGTATGTATATGTATTTATATATTCATTTATTTACTTATATGTAATTTATAAATATACGTATATATAAATAGATAGATAGATAAATAGATACACACACACACAGGTTGTATTCATAACTGATTGTGAAAAAAACTGCACAGCGAGAAACATTTGCTGCTTTTAAAAGAATCTGTAAATTTACAGATTATTTTGGAATACTTTAGGTTTACACCTAAGTTGCTGTGTATCAACATTGATTTATAATTAACGGCTCATAAATGTATTATTGTGAGACAAATATAATGAGTTTGACACGTGATATTTTACAATTACTGTGTACCCAAAAAACTTTCCCTGTGAATTTCATTTCTACTTTCATTTTTGATTATTCAAAATGAAACAGATTTTATTTCTAACTATCACTGATATTGTCCAGGTACATCAGTGATTCTCAACCATTTTTCCTTCGTGGTATTTTATGATTATTATTAATGTCCCAAAGATCCCCTACTTAAGAAAATATCTTACAATCTTGATGTATTTATGGATCTTTCATAAAGTAAATGTCATAATTCTAATAACCGGTTTCGGTAAAAAAAAAAACACGTCTTTCTCAAAATCGTTAACAATTTTTGAAAATGATAGCGTGCTGCAAAAATGCAGATGGAGAATGAGGGAACGTTGAACCCCGTGGATGCGTCCGAATTCATTGATCGGCACTTAATTAAACGAGTCGATTACATACAAGTTCCTTCCCTCTACCGTTTTAGATTGTGTCAAATATGCTCTTTGTGATTATAATACCTTTAAGTGATATTGTAGTTTGCGGAAAAAACATATGTGTTAAAACATTAAATAATAAGAAAAACTGACCATTTGTAATAAGATTAGCTTCGAAATTTTCTGAAAATGTAGTATTTGTAGTTTCATCCCCTGACAAGTTTTCAGGGACTGCCTTCACCGTTATTCTTAAATATTTCAACTGTTATCTCTTAGATCAGATGCGTAAAACGAAAGATGAGAGTGTTGCTTTCGCGTGTAAACTTAAATACGAATAACATTTAAGTTTACCCTTAAAAACAGTTTTCTTCAGTTTCTAGCATCTACAAAACAAAGAAAACGTACTTTTTAGCCTAAACTAATTGTTTTACCATACTTCCTTTCATAATGAACAAATCTGTATGACCTATTTCAATTCGAAATAAAAAGAAGAAGATACCCTTTTCATATTCCCATTGAAAGAGAGTAGTTTTTGGAATTATTGGATATTGTTCTGTCTGTCTTCATGTTTGCCAAAAGATTATTCGCATTGTGTAAGTCAAAAAAAATTCTCTCTCTCTTCTCTCTCTCTCTCTCTCTCTCTCTCTCTCTCTCCTCTCTCTCTCTCTCTCTCTCTCTCTCTCTCTCTCTCTCTCTCTCTCTCTCTCTATCTATATATTATAATATATATATATATATATATATATATATTATAATTATATATATATATTATATATATATATATAATATATAACTTTTTATCTGGCTTTCTATCTATCTGTCTGTCTATATGTCTATCTGACGATCTATCTTTCTATCTGCATCCTCCGTGGTGAGGGCTAATTAATAAGAATTGAAAATGGTATTTCAATGACTATTCTTTAGTATCATAATTAGTAATAGTAGCAGTAGAAGTCGTAGCAGCAGCAGCATTATCGTTATTGTTATTACTATAATTGTTTTGTTGTTGTTATCATTATTATTACAATCATTTCTATCAATATCATTATCACCTTTATCATTATCATTGTTACCATACTTTTGTTATTGTTCTATCATCATTATCATTTATTTACCATTTTTTATTATTATCATTATCATTATTA